TTAAAAATTATATTATATTTTAAAAATAGGATAAAGAATTATATACTTCTCATGTTTGCACATAAGTCCAAAAATCTCACCATATACATCCTTGAAGCAGGACAGTCCCACAAAGCAGACTTTTATAAATGCTTCAATCAATAGAATATACCAGAAATTACACTATATGACTTCTGAGGCTAGTCCATAAAATGCATGACTTTTGAGTTGTTCCTTTGAAATGCTTGCTCTTATAATACAGTCACATTGCTGTGAGGAAACTCAGGCCACAGGGCTTGGGCAAGACTGTGGGTGAGCTGGCCAAGAGTCAGCCTCGGCTTTCAAGGAGACTATAGTGCCAGACTTAATGCAGGAGAGATCCAGTGCTGAAATTGTGAGGTGAGCCCAGTCACCCTCACAACCATGAAAGATGATACTATAAGGACCATTTTTTTTAAAACCATTCAATTTTGGGATGACTTGCTGTTTAAGCAATGGAAAACTAGAACAAATTTTATGATTGTAACAATTTTTAGGTTGGCGACATCTCAGTGGTAAAGTATGTGCTTATCACTGGTGATGCCTTTTGCTCCATCCCCAGCACCACACACAGCCAAACTAGGTTATTTACATGTGTCAACATCTTAATAATTTTTAAAACTTAAGATCATACTGTTGTAACTTTATTTTTTTTGTTATGAAGACCTTGCCTTTTAATTTAATTTTGTATATAAAATGGTCAAATACATTAAAGTATGAATTCGCTGACTAATATCCATTTCACAATGTTACAAATTGCTCATCAATAACAAATTATACTCAATTTATATATATGAAAGTTAAGGGGATGGGGACATAAAAACTGTGAGAATGGTTACATTAGAGGGCCTTGTAGGGTATTCAAATGTATTATTTCTTGATTTGGGTGTTGATCACCACATGTATTCATTATTCTGATATACTTTAATAAAAATCACAAGAAAAATTTACTAAAATAATATGTGTATGTGTATATAATGCATATGCAGATACACATATTCAAAAATATTAAAGATTACCTTCAAGTAGTGGGATATCAGTAATTTTAATTTACTACTTTAAATTTTCTCAAGTTTTGACAGTGAACACCTATATTCCTAAATTTTAAAAGTTACAAATGGAAAAAAAATTGTTAATTCCCTTTATTTGGTCATAAAAAGTTTAAAGTAGAATGTTATGTAGGAGCTATGCTGAATAAGCTTCACCAAAAACCATCAAAATACATGAATCATGTGATCAAATCTCAAGTTAAAAATCGTAACCATCACTTACATAAAACAGCCATGTGGCAATTCTATTTCCTGTTCCCAGTTCTTTGAAAGCATCTGGTTCATCTTTCTGTGAAAAACAAACAAAACCCCCACCAAATTCAATCATATAAATTTCAGTAATGTTAATACTCCAGTGACAACTGAACATCAGTTAAAGATTATAAAGTAAATAATTAAATATAAAGAATATCTTTAAAATCTCAAAAGGTTCCCATGTAATTTATAGATGATTATCAACACTACCCACTTAAGTACTTGGTGGTTGTTGACTCAGCTTGTGTACTGTATATTTTTTTACACAATTACTGAACAAAAAAATAGCCATATTCTTAGCCTAAACAATGAGAACTACTATCAACCTACCACAGACTATTTTAAAAATTAAGATCTACAATTTTATCTTCCAAAAAATAAGACACAAGAGCCACCTTTTAGCTATATTCATGAAATTTGTTCGCCATGGGTAAAAATTTTACTATGAGATTTACTTTCAACTCACAAACCCACTCAAATCTTTAGTGTTATTATGACTGTCTTTCTTTTGGATAGTTGACACTTTAATCAGGCTGGAAACTGCATAACCAGCTATTTAAATCTAAATTAAAATATCCCTTGGCATTAGCCAAAAAACTATCCAGAGGTCCTTGAACTGAACTGTGGTACATTCATACCATGGAACAATAGTCAGCAATAGATAGAACTCACTACTGATGCATAGAAGAACTTGAGAGAACCTCAGGGCGATTATGGTAGAAAGACAATCTCAAAAAGATACATGCTGCACGGTTCCATTCATGTAGCATTCATGAATTAGCATTATTAAAAACAACAGATTGGCTACCAGCAGTAGGGATGGAAGGAGACAGGGTATGTGGAGTCCACAACAGAATCTTGTGACAAAGTGTTACAGCGTGACTAGGGTAATTACACAAAGCTACACATGTGATAAAACTGCATAGAAATGAATGAGCTCTTGGCCAATACCAAATTCCTGGTTTTGACAGTGTGCTACAGTTGTACAAGGTATTGACCCTGGGCCAACTGTGGGAAGGGTCTGTGCGACCTCCCTGTACATGTGTATTGTCTCTTCCTATCAGTCAATATTTATTTCAAAATCAAAAGCTAAAACAATACAATTTAGTTTTGTTAGATGAGGGTTGTCATGGTAGTCATTCACATCATCAAAGCTCCTCTCACAAATAACAGTAAAATCTATTCTTTGCAGGTCTTCATAGAAAAAGAGCTCAGGATTCTAGGACTGGGCCATGAAAGGGCTATTATATAATACAGACTATGTTTTCTTTCCAACAATTCTATCCTCCTTTTTTTTTTTTTTTACTTATTTATTTTGCAGAACTGGGGATTGAACTATCCTTCTTTAATAATGGTGATACATCAAGACCACTGAGATATGTGACATATTCATTAGAATTTTAACTATAATAAACCTTATAAGTTTTAGTAATTATCATTTATAGTTAAATATATTAAGTAAGAAGAGACCAATATTTATTAATTTTAAATCAAAAGTCCCTGCCTAGCAACACAAACTTTTTTTTTAAACATAGTGTTCAGTTTTGTTTTGTTCTTTTAATTTTTTAATTTTTTTTTTGGTGGAACTGGGGATTGAACATCAGGCCTTTATGCTTGCCAGGGAAGTGCTTATTCCACTGAGCCATCTCCCCAGCCCTCAACACAAACACAAACTTTTAAAAAACTGTTTTAATATTACTTACCTTATTCTCCAGCACAGTATCTTTGCATTTTTTATGTTTTGTTTGTTTTCTAGTGTTTTGTTTTGTCTTTTGAAATGAGATCTTACATTGCCCAGGCTGCTCTGGAACTCCTGGAATCTGCCTTGTCCTCCCAAGTTACTGGAATGACTAGGTATGCACCACTGCACCCAGATTCTTGTATATTTTTATTTTCCTTTTTTTTTTTTTTTTGGCAGAACCAGAGATTGAACTCAGGCCCTTGAGTTTTATTTTTATTTTTCTATCTTAAAATGTGGCCTGGTAATTGGTTCACTAATTCACTTCATATATTTCTAAATTATTTTTATCTTACCCATTACATTTTAAATATTATTTTTAAGATTTTCCTTTTGCTTACTTTTTAAATATGCTAAATCATTTTGATAGTTTGTTATTTGTGTCCCTCCAACCCCCCCACACACATTATGCACTTACTTTTTGCATTCTGTGTCTGACAGTTTATAGTATCTAAAGTCCTGCAGAAGTCTAAATTGGTTGGTTGCTTTGGTCTTACCGACAGTGCCTTATTACCAGTTAGTGATTTTGTTTTAAGTGACTACATATTTAGCTGAGAATGAGTTAAATATCTTAGAATGAGGAGTTGTACTCCAGGGAAGAAATGAATTTGCTTCTGCAAAATTAAGAACACTAGCAAACTGAACAATTGTAATTTCTTCTCTTCCAGAGTAGTAAAAATTCAAATCCAGGATTGCACAAAGGCAGGCCTATATTTTAAAATTCCCAGAAGCAGCATATATACACACCCAGCTGTGATGGAAACAGAACATTCTCCTTCAGGCTCCTACCTAAAAGCAGGTTATTTTCAAAGTCATCCTCTATTCATGAGGATACTGCCCTACTGGAGACTTGGATGTAATGCATGAGTCTCAGGTTCAGCAGCCTACACTGTGGCAGCTCCCTTAAGAGTTGATAATCCACAAAGCCTCAGGTCCCTAGAGGAATGTGCCCCCAGCCTCAGCTTTAATGTTGCCCCACTTTAATTATGTAAATTTAGGCTCCAGGTCTCTTTGTTCAGTTTCATCTTTAGGTACATCCTTTACTTGTTTCTAGACTTACCAATCCACTTACCTACGTACCTTAACTGTTTGGTACACAGGAATATTTTACTGCTGAAAGACTTCTAGGGGGGATCTACTTCCACAAATTTCAAACAGGCTATGTACTTCTAATATCAAAATACTTTAATACTTCTGTGCTCATCTCTACACTGTCCAGTCTTAGCAAGAGTCCTGTCAAATCAGTGCTGCCAAAAGATGTTCCTGTATCCTCAATATCTGATCAACATTGATACCTAATCAGATTCTTCATCTTCCACATTCCCAGGGGACATATGACCTCCCAACCCTGACAGCATCAGGAATCCTGTTAGGTCCAGGTAGCTAGAATCCTTGCGTACTTCTTTGGGTAATTTTTCTTTTACTGAGTGCCTCCCTGCTCCTTGCCTATAAATTCCTACCTTTCCGTATTGCATGTGAAGTTAAACTTAGTCAAATGTTAGGAAAATATTTTCTTCAACAGTATAATGTCTAGGTGCCCAGCTACTTCAGTAGAGCATGATACTCTTAACAGTGTAATACCTAAGTTTCAGTGATTGATTATGGTCTCTATTTTTCTTACCCGTGCAAAGTCAAAATGAGGTTCATATTGTCCCCCAACTCCATAATTTGCTACCTGAAAGGAAAAAACAAAGTATGAATGAAAGAACTGTCAAGATTATTATTCAAAAAAATCTAAGTCTCATTTTGGTCCCTTATATAGATACTGCAAAAGAAATGAAAAAATATTTTAAAATCAATGAAAAATTTGAAGTAAACAGATGGAAAATTGAGGATAAGCTATTATGTGCTTTTTCTTTAGCAAATATTTGAGGATGTGCATTTCCTTGAAGTAAAATCCTGAGATTTCTATTTTTATAATTATTTCCTTTGAAATTTAAATAAAATAAAAATGTTTGGGGGCACTGGAGATTGAACCCAGGGTCCTGTGCATACCAACCTAGCACCTTCCACTAAGCTATATCACCACCCTTTTGTGAGACAGGGTATTGCTTAGTTGCCCAGACTGGCCTCAAACTTGTGATCCTTCTGCCTCTGTGTCCACCTCTTGAGGACAAATTATTAAGTTTTTAAAAAAATAAAACACTATATCTATCAATACTTTTCATATTTTAAACTGCAACTGATGTGTGTCACTGCCAAGACAATGACACTCATAAAAATAATGAAGTTGGACTCACCCACCCTCACAAAACCACATATAGAAATTAATTTAAAATAGATCAAAGACATGAAGAAAAGTATAAACTATAAAATGTTTTGTGCCAGTGGGGTAGCTCAACAATACACTGTGTGTTTGGTGCTTGAGGCTACAAGTTCAAGCCCCAGCATCAAATATGAAAACTGTAAAACTCTTAGATGAAAGCATAAGTGCAAATCTTGGAGACTTTGGATTACACAATGGTTTCTTAGACATTTAATCAAACTTCATTAAAATAAGTAAGTTTTTTAAAAAATCAAGGGCCAGGGATTGGCCTGTGACACAGCGTGTAGAATCAGTGGCATAGCGTGTAGTCCTAAGTTTGATTCCTGGTACCAGAGGGGGAAAAAAAAGATATCAAAGACTCACTGGAAGAAAGCCTTTCTAATAAATGGTGCTGGAAAAACTGACTTTCCACATGCCAAAGATTAAAATTAGACCTGTATCTTTCACTATGCAGAAAATGGATCAAAGATCTAAATATTAAAACAGAAACATTAAGTCTGCTGGAAGACAGAATAGGTAGAACTCTTGAAAGTATAAGGGTAGGCAAAAACTTTATGAACAAAACTTCAATTGGACAAGAACTATCACAGAAAATCAACAACTGGAATCTCATCTTATTAGAAAGCTTTTTTTCACAGCAAGAGAAACCACCAACATAGTGAAGAGACAACGCACAGTGTGGGAAAAAGTGTTTTCTAGCTGTTTCTCGGGCAAAAGATAATTATCTAGAATATATAAAGACCTCAAAATATCAAGCCCTTCAAACTTAAAGACCCAATCCAAAAATGGGCATCTGAGATGAATATACACTTCTCAAATTAAGAAGTACAAATAGGGGCTGGGGAGATAGCTCTGCAGTCTAAGCACCTGCCTGGCAAGTGCAAGAACCCGGGTTTGATCCTTGGTACTCCATGCCATGTGGGCCACCAAAACTGGGCATGGTGATGCACACCTTTAATCCCAGTGCTGGGAGGTTGAGAAAGGATCACTATGAGTCCAAGCTGCATAGCAAGACCCTGTACCAAATAAATAAGATTTTTTTTTAAATCAAAAATAAAGAAGTACAAACAGCAAATATGTGAAAAATGTTCAACATTACTAGTCATTCAAGAAAAGCAAAGTAAAACCACACTGAGATTTCATCTCACCCCAGAAAGAATAGGCTATTATCAAGAAATCAGCCAAAAACAAATGCTGGAGGAGCTTTGGGGAAAAAGGAACCCTTCTCCACTACTGCTGGTGGGAGTGTAGACTGGTGCAACCACTGTGGAAATCAGTATGGATATTCCTCAAAAAATCTAGGACTAGAGTTCCATTTGACCTAGCTATTTTTGGTATCTTCCTAGAAGAACTAAAAGCATCACACCACAGCAATATAGGCACACCTATGTTTACAATGGCAGTTTGGAATAGCCAAATCTTGGAAACACAAATGCCCATCAAATGGACATTTGTCAAATGCCTACCTGACAATATGATCACTATGTACATCTAAAATGTGATCAAATGTATATCTAAAAATGTGAGCACTTTGTATATCCCTTTATCAAAATGCATAAAGATGTGTACTGGAGGCAAAACTGTCTGCACTTCAGGTATCCAGGACAAGGCCGCGGCCTCTCAGGAGTATGGCAGGGCCCCATGAAGGTGTACACATCTCAGGGAGCTATTGCTATAGTGCCTTGACTTTCACCTGATAACAGTTTTCTCCCTTGCTTCCCATGTAGCCATCAAGACTTGCTGTTCGGCCAACAGATTATATTTTCTGCCTGTCCCAAATTCTACCCCCACTTAAAGTCTCCATAAAATTATTCATATGCTGACTGTATGAATAAACACACTGTGGGTGCCAGACAGTTTCTTTCTCCCATCAGGTGGGTGCCACCTGACCTCAGCTTTTGTATATTGATTCCTGTCTGTCTTTATCCCCCAGTGCCCTCCCTCCAGAGTTTCATGAGCTGTGCCAGACATGGAAAAATTTTTTCTTTATACAATGGAATATTACTCTGCTATAAAGAAGGATAAACTTGAGACATTCCTAGGTAAATAGATGCATCTTGAGATTATACTCAAGTGAAATAAATGAGACACGTGTAAATACTGCATTTTTTCCCTGGTGTAAGAAACAAAGTATAAATAAGGACCAAAGTGTGTAACAGATATCAAACAAGAAGAACATGTTCAAATGGAGAGGGAAGGAGGAAAGAAAAGAAGGAAAAGAAAAAAAACGAGAAAAGGAAAACTTGGAAACAAAGCTTTTGTAAATGGGGAGTGGAGGACGGGTTGAAGGGAGTGTAGGGGAATGGGAGAAAAACAAGTTATATTATATACAGGTACAAATTCTCTACAATGAATGTGATCACTATGTATATCTAAAATGTATCAATAAAATCTGATCAGAAAAACAATTAACAAGGGCCAGCCTGATAGCTCAGTGGACTAAAACACCTGCTTAGGCAGAGCGCAGCGTTCCTGGGTTTGATCCCCAGGCCTGCCATGCTGGCCTTGCCCCCAGGGTACCGTGACACAGCTACTGAGACTGGGTGTGGTGGCATGAGCCTGTAATCCCAGTGCTTGGGAGGCTGTAAACAGGAAAATCACTAAGAGTTCAGTCTACATAGTGAAACCCTGTAGACCCTGCCTTAAATACGGAAAAGAAAAACAAGTTTTGTGCCAATGGGTACCATCAAGAGTGAAAAGACAAGTCCTACAATGATAGCATGTATTTGCAAAAGTTATTTACCTAACAAGGGTCTAGCATTAAGAATATACAAAGAACACTTAACAGAGACACAAAATACAATTGAACAATATGTACAAAAAGTGCTCCATATCATTAATCATCAGGAATATGCAAATGAAAACCATGAAATAGAAACTTCAGCCTCACTAGAATAGCTATACTGAAAAGCAAAAATGGGACAATAGCAAGTGTCAACAAGGTTGCAATGAAACTGGAACCTTGATACAGCCACCTTAGTAGCTCCTCAAATGCTAAACACAGAGTTATTATATAAGCCAGAAAATACACTCTAGGAGTGTATATTTAAAGAAACTTAGGGGGCCTACCCCTTAGCTCAGTTCTTTAAGTGGCTGCTTCAACAAAGCAGTCAGGCTCAGGCTGCTGTGGTTCTATCCCCACAACACTCTAGCCAGCCAAACCTGCCCTGAAGGCATTCGGAGAAAAAAAAAAAAAAAAAAAAAAGAAACTTAAATATTTGTTCACAAAAATCTTACACATGAATGTTCACAAGAGAATTATTTTTAAAAGACCAACAGTCAATTGTCCACCTAACAGGTAGATCACCTAAGGAATGAAAAACAAAATTAGTACACTTAATCAATGGTACTGTTACATACTGTTTATTTGCTGGTATATTTATACTCAATGGAGGTTTATTTGTCTTGTCTCTTTGGAACAGGGTCTCACTATGTAGCCCAACTGACTTTGAACTCAATCCTCCTGCCTAAGCTTCCTGAGCACTAGGGTTACAGGCATCTACCACCATGCCTGGCTCTTGACAGTTCATGTTTTGACAAAACATGAGCAATCACAATTTCTTCCACTGATTATTAAAATTGCTTTGCAGACTTTCAGCTTTTAGGTCACTTTTTATAGTCCCAAACTCAAATGTCAAGGACTCTCACCTATTCAGTGTAAGGAAATCTCACTGGAAGCACCTCCTGAAGTGTGAAAAGAACTGGAGGCCTACCTGTAATTCTTCTGCTGTGGACACATCTAGTCCTGTCAGATCTTGTATCCTCATGTTAATTCGAGACACCACGGGGTTTTCATAGCCAGAGAGCCAGGCACTAAGGACATGACAAAAAAATAGCTTTATTAATATTATTTCATCACATGATGTCAAATAGCTGTAATTTTAAAAATCATATAAGACAAACTTTTAAGGCATTCAGTTGATCTGTTTTAACATGATTTTTATAATGACGAATATCATAATTTTTAGAAGATGTTACATTTTACAATTAGAAGTTGGGAAGGAAAAAAACTAATCTCATAATTTTTCTATGAAAAACAGGTGGGTTAACAAAAGCTGTCTGAATGGAGGTCATCTTTCCTGGTGACTGTGCCCTCTACATGAGGTCTCAGCTGTCTGCCTCGAGTGATTACCTGGCTCTGCAGACACATGTGATGGTGCCCAGCTCACACTAAGAATTTCTAAAATTCTAGCCAAATACTTTACAAATGCAAAGCAATTGCTCTTTCTATATAAGGTACCAAAACTGACTGGGTGCAGGTCAAAGGGTCTTCAGCCTTGATCTATCTTAAGGCTAATACTATTTACAGTTAAGAAGTGCATACATTACTTGATTAAATAAAAATAAGTTTTATAAGAGTACAAACCCACTAAAGTGGTTATAAAGTATTGGTAAGAACATAGAATCCTCATACCTTGCTGATGGGAATAAAAAATGAAAAGCCCCTTGGCACATCACTAAATGTTAACACAGAATTACTATATCATCTACCAATTCTACTTCTTCCTATATATCCATGAGAAATGAAATATGTCTACACAAAACCTTGTTACTGAAATATTCATAGAGCATTACTAAGAGCCAAAAAAGTGACAAATAAACTGATAGAGACCATACAATGTGGTATATATCTATAAATGGAATATTATAGCATAAAAAAGGAATGAAGTACAGATTATGCTACAACATGAACAGAACCTTAAAAGCATTACATTAAATGAAGGAAGCTGGACATCAAAGGCCACATGATTCCACTTACATAAAATGTACAAAACAGGTAAATTAATAGACACCAAAAGTGGATTAGTGGTTGCCGACGATGGGGTCAAGGGTTGGTGGGAAGTAACTACCAATGATTATAGGATTTTTGTGGGGTGAGGGTAACAAAAATGTTCTAGAGTTGAATGTAACGGTTCCACAACTGAAGATTTAAATGACTGAAACATATATTTTAAAAGAGTGAAATTTACACTGTGAAACTGTATCTTTATTTTTAAAAAGGCACCCCCAGTGTGAGGCCTGGGGTTCATTTCGCAGATTCTTAAATAATAAAATAAGACCCCCTCCCCAAATTCAACTATCTCTTTTATATATGCTACTGACTGTCCAATCTTATCAACTTTTTTTATTTCTTCCCTTCAATTTTATCAGTTCTTTTCTCTGAAGCTTTGATTCTACGGTTTATCACTTCAACAATATTTTTGCTAAAAGTCTTATTTATTTTTAATGTATTTAGTACAGGGCCTACAGGGTTTTCAGCTTCCTATGTGCTGGGATTATATGTGAGCACCACCACCCCAGTCTCAGCATGCCCCGGGGACAGGGCCAGCATAGCATGCTGGGGATTGAACCTGGTCCCTGAGCCTGTCTAACAGGCGCTTTACCCTGCTGAGCTATCTGACCAGCCCCTAAAAGCCTTATTTATTTATTTATTTTATTTATTTTTAGGACAGGGTATACAGCGACCCACTGCATAGATCAGATTTGTTGTCATCCTCCTATTTACAGCCTCCCAAGTGCTGGGATTACAGGCATGTGCCACCACACCCAGTCTCCTAAAAGCCTAATTTAAACATGGTCCTGAATGAATGTTTGTCTCCAAGCTTATACCCATGACACTAAATGTATGTAGTGGACAGGTATGTTCCACTAAAAATTTTGAACAACAATTTCAAATTGTCCTCATGTTTATTTTTTTCTCTATTCAGAACCCTCTCCACTCAGACAATAACATGCATTCTACTTCACAGAGAAACCATGAAATTTACTGGCATCTAAAGTCACTGCTTTTTGTAGTTCATTTCAGTTCCATTCTAGTATGGATAGAGATTTCTCTCTATTGTCTATGGCTAATCCTCTAAGATTCTATCCCCTCCTGCCACCTAAAGAACCACAAATCACAGATCAGCCCTTTCCATCTTATATGATCATCTTCCTCCTCTTAACAGTTCTTCCTAAAGTTTTTAATTAGGCTTGCTTTTCCCTCAATAAAAATAAAAAAAACTCTTTCCCACAATTCTCTATCTCCTGCCAGTTACCAAACTTTCCCTCCTCTTCAAGCCAACTTTTTCAGACTCATCTTTGAACCCATTTTAATCTAGCTTTAGACCCTCATCACTCCAACAAAATTGCTCTACCATGCCACCAAATTAAATGGCATTTTCTCATTTTTACTGTTTTATTTGCTTTAGTGATGTTTGGCAACATTCTTTCATTCTGGAAGTTGTCTTCCTCAAACACTCATCCTCCAGGTACCCTTAATTTTTTCCCTGTGTCTACTCACTGTTATAACCATACAGCCCACAAAGCCTGGCACACAGTAGATGCTTAAATATTTGCTGAATGAACAAACCCTGAAGATTTCTTAAAATGAATGCATGATTACCCTACTTTGCCAAAATTGTCACTTTTAGAAGTCTCTTGTGAATTCATCAAAACTGGTTGAGTACAGTTGATACATATTTTAATAATTCATTTTTCCCAGTCTGACCAAGCTCCTCACACAACTAACCTGGTATGTTATGTCAACATACCATACTATCTGTTCTGTCTGGAAACAGCTGGACACATTTTTCAACTTTATAAGCAAACTACTAGGGATTTTTCCAGGTAACTGCAATGCATGATTAATAAGTGCTCTAATAAGGCTTCAAACTAACCTAACTCCTCCTGGAACCTATTACCCAAGAAAATCTGGCTTCTATTATCTTCAACTACTCTTGCTACTCGTACCAACATTGAGGTATGCTTTCTTGATTTTTTTTTTTTCTTGCACTTTAGTGGAATCATTATCCTGCAGGCTTAAGAGGCAGGTTTTTCTGTCTATGCATTTCAATCTCCTATTTCTAACACTACACGCTTTTTACTCCAGCAGTTACTACCTCTCTTTATCTTTAATCTATTCCTTGTAAATGTCTAATTTTTACTCTTTTGCCCAGTCTCTTGCTACCAAGAAAACCTTTAATTTTTGCTATTCTATTCAATTATCGTTCAAATGTCTCACTGCACTCCTTTAAAATTAAAAAAAAAAAGCACAAAAGGTTACTCAACAAACAGTCATGAGACACTGGATAGCCACATGCAAAGAAAAAAGTTGGACTCCTACCTCATGTTTTATTTTTAAAAATTTAATAAATATAGATCAAACATCTAAATATCAGTGCTTAGGAAAAAACAGAAGAATAAAACTGCGACCTTAGATCAGGAAATGGCTGATATCTAACAGGTACAGCTGAGCATGGTGGCATGCACCTATAATCCCAGCTACTCAGGAGGCTTGGAAGGAGGATCACAAGTTCAACACCAACTTGGGCAACTTAGATCTGTCTCAAAAAATAAAAAGTGCTGAAGATGGATGTAGCCCAGTGCCAGAGTACTTGCTCAGCATGGGTAAGGCCCTGTATTTGGTTTTAAAAAATACATATATGTGTGTGCAGGAGCATGTACCTGTAGTCCCAGCTACTTAGAAAGCTGAAGCAGAAGCACCCTTTGAGCCCAGGAATTCAAGGCCATCCTGGGCAACAAAGAGATCTTTTTTTTTTCTTTTCTGTATTTTAGGGAAGGATCTACAGGGTGTTCAGGGTCTCACTACTAGATCGGACTCATAGTGATTCTCCTGTTTACAGCCTCCCAAGTGCTGGGATTACAGGCGTGCGCCACCATGCCCAGTCTCAATCGCCATCTCAGCACGTCCTGGGGATGGGGCCGGCATGGCAGACCCTGGGGATCAAACTCCTGGCCGGTGCGCCTGCTTGCAGGTGCTTTAATCTGCTGAGCTATTTCCAGGCTCTGAGAGATCTTATCTTGAGAAGAAAAAAAAAGTAATGTACAGGAAACAGAAGGAAAAACAAACTGATTAAAATGAAAATTCTTATGTGTTTTGTAAATCAAAAATCTGATAAGACTTTTTCCTAAAATACATAAATTCTTATTGAACTATTACATCTCCACAAGACAGTGCAATTTAACAACTGGCAAAGGATCTAAGTAGATATTTCTCAAAAAAGATAAGGAAATGTCTAAAAAGCACATGAAAAGTGCTTGGCTTCACGAACTGTCATGGAAATACAAATCAAAACCACTATGAGGCCAGGCACAGTGGGGCCCATCTATTAGTCCCAGCTGGCTGGGAGGCAAGAGAAACATTTGACCCTAAGAGTTCAGTACCAGCCTGGGCAACATGGTGAAACCTTATTTCAAATAAAACAAAACTCCCACCCCCTCCAAAAAAATAACCCACAATGAGATATTACTTAACCCCTATCAGGATGACTATGTCCAAAAAGAAAAACGATAAATTGGGTACAGTGGTGACCCTCCTGTATTTCAGGGCTATCCTTAACTACTTCGGAGACCCTGTTTCAAGAGAGTGACAGTAACATGTTAGCAAGGATCTACAGAAACCAGAACCCTCATAGAGAACGCTGCTGGTGGCAGTGTAAAATGGTACAGCCACATTGGGAAAAGCCTGGCAGTTTCTCAAATGATTATACAGCTATAATATGGGCCAATAATCCTACTTCTAGGTATAACATCAAATGTAAAAGTCTGCTCTTACAAAAGCTTGTACACGGACGTTCACGGCAGCATTTTAGTAATGAAAATCTGTGTATATCTTTGCATATTTTTGAGATTATCTCTGCAGAATAAATTCCTAGAGGTAGAAATGCTCAACGCCATATGTGTGTGTGTGTGCGCGCGTGCGCAAATATATAGATTAAGTCAAATAACTCTCTGAAAATGTTGCAGTGAATTTTTTTTTTTTAATGTATTTGGTACAGGATCTCACTACACAGCTGGGACTCATGGTGATC